GGAAGAAAAATATTTGCTTTCACGTAGTGGATTTTAGGTGCCATGGAAACAGGAGTTGAAAAGACTTCAAGTAAATAGAAAGCAATCAGCTGAGCCTGAGGTTTTCTTTAAAATATAACCATGAAATTTTGATCAGACCAACGTTTCTATGTGATTTGAGGGCTGAAGAAATGGCTCAGTGGTGAAGAGCACTTGATGCTTTTGTGGAGGACCTGGGTGTGGTTCCTGGCATGCACATGGCAGCTCACAGCTATTTGTAACTCTAGTTGTAGATAATCAGATTCCTCTCTCCTGGTTCTCACAGGCACTACACGCAGGGGTGCCCATATAGACATGCAGGCAAAACATGCATACACATAATATCAAAATGAATAGGTATTTCAATGTAATTTTGAAGGTAATCAATTATTGTATCACCAGTTCAAGAATTTCTGAATATTGTAAACTATGTAACACAGTCTGCCTTTCCTTTAGTTTCTTAGGCATATGAAAGAAATGTAACTTGATTTAAATGATGAAAGTCAAACAGCAAATGTAATGAGGGTCTTTAATAAGTAGACTTCATTAAGGTCAATGATATAACATTGCTGAGTGAAAACAGTCATTCATTTCATATGCAGAGGATGAGGGACCATAGAATTATTTTATAATTTAAGAAGGACACTAAGTTTTCTGATTGAATTTGTTTGAAACTGGGTCTTAAGTTATAGCCTAGAGTGGTCTTGAACTCACAAGGTATCCCTGGATTGCCTTGAAGTTATCAAAATCCTCTTGCCTCAGCCTTATGAGTGCTGGGTTGCAGGTGTAAGGCACTGGGGGCTGGGCTGCAAGTGTAAGGCACTGGGGGCTGGGTTGCAGGAGGAAGGCATAGAGTTCTGGGTTGCAGGTGTAAGGCACTGAGTGCTGGCTTGCAGGTGTAAGGCATTTGAATAGAACTAAGTGGCAGAATTTTTAAGAGTTCTGTCCTTAGAAGTGTTTATTAATTTTTCAGTGTGAAAGTATCTTTGCTAGAGACTTTGTTGAGTGCAATTAATTATTCTTACTTACAAGGAAATATGATTGGTGCTAAATGTGTTTACATGTGTTGTTCTAAGGAAGAGATTCTATAAAAATCAATGTACTTGCAAGGGCTCTAGCCTGTTCTGTCATTTAAGAGCAATGTTTTTAAGACATTAACAGCACTTTTTGGTTTTTCAATGTATTTCAAGACAATATATTCTAATATTTCTTGCTATAGAAAACCACCATGGTACCCTCAAAATAATAAGATCAGATTGTTAAAGTACAGAGCTGAGGACCCAAGTTGCAGGCAAATCTATTTTTATGGAAACACAACAGGCAAACACAGAAAACCCACAAAGAATTCTATTCCCATTTCATTCTAGGAGTTGTTAGTCTTGGAGGATTGCAAAGAACTCTAATATAGGAGACCAAGACATCTCTACACAGTTTGTCCAGATTGAAGATTTATGATAGCTGGCAAAGAGATGCAATAAAGTGGTGTGGGCTGTTTAGAGGTTTTCATTATTTATGATGAAAATAATATATTCACAGGAATGAAAAATCCCAAACAATAAAAGTCTCACCTCATCACCCTAGATTCTTAGCTGTCAACTTCTTGGTGTGCATTTACGCAGAAGATTTCACCTTATATACAAAAACATGTGTATCCTCTTTGCACAGTGATAATACACATTAGGAATGCTGTTTTCTGTGTTTGGGATTTTGTGTTCAATTTTATCTGAGAGAAATTTTCACAGCTTCACAAGTAGAAAAACTTCACTGTTAAAAAAATTATAGTAATTCATTCTAAGAATGAACATAACCAAGAGGACATAGTGGGCAACTGGTAAACAGTTAATCTTTGTAATATTCAGAATTTTACTTGTTGGAAGTTCCTAGACTATTTACTTACAGGAAGGTATATATATATTTCAATATTGGTGCTGTTTTCAAACTGGCATTCCAATTTGTGCCCTAGTTTTTATTTTTAAAAAAGGTCTTTTATCCATGTTTTAAACTAGACAACATCTCCTTAGATGCTTACTTATAAATAAGCATATTTTCCTCTAATTCCATGATCAAACACTGGTCGGTTTTCTTTTGGGTGCTGGTGCATTTTCTGAAATGTAATTTAAATGATATTTACATAGTAACTAAGTTATCACTTTGACTCATATTCATCAATGTTGATATAAGTTTTTAGAGATATTCTCCTTGCCTCTGTTTGTGGTATGTTTTAATTCAATTTTATAATGGTTTCCTATAAGGCTTTTTGATTTAAAAGGCTTGACTGTCTCCTTACTGAAACTCAGTAACCAACCAACAAATAGTAAAAATGATAATAGTGATGGTGATGCTGCTGCTGCTGATGGTGGTGGAGGCTGTGGTGGTAGTGGTAATGTCAAGTTCTAAAATCTAGAACTTACTCTAAATAATGAAATGGAATGCATGTTTTGTGTGTCTCTTTCCCTTCCAACTTCTTACCTTGTCATTCCAGTGCCTGCATTAATCAACGAATTTTTAAACAGTACTTAACATATTCTGATAGCTTTAGGTATTTTAGCATTTTATCTAAACAAATTAGAACTGTTAATCTATGTTTGGTCTTCTCTGAAGATCAAGCCCCTTCTAGTGTCTTCTTATTTTATGTTTGTAAAGATTCTTCGACTGTGCTTCTATTTCTGATTTCACCCAGCTTTTCTTAGATCACCATGATTTTATGTAGAATAACTTCTAACAGAATCAATGATGAGTGATATATACCTCCAAAAGTATTTTGCCTTTTATTCAGGAACAATACACACATACGTGCGACTTCTGTTCACACTTAAATTTTTTAAGCTGAGTAGATTTTGAAAATTTTCTTTCTAAACTTGGGTGTGTGGAGACCATGCTTAAAAAGCATGAGGTCTTGACTCTGTCTCCAGTATCACAAAACAAATAAAAAACCAAAAAATCCCTTCAAATTTCTTAACTTTATGACTATCATTTCTTTTACATTGATACTCTGTGACATGCCTCATTACATTTGAAATTGAATTGTTTATCTGTACATAGAAAAATTAATGTGTTATACTATTTTAACCAGCTAAATTTTTGAATTCTCAATATTTGCAGTTTTCTTTGAAGTTGGCTGTTTTCCATGAATATCAAATTATGCTATATGTCATAAACAATAATATCTGCTTTCTTTATAACTTTTATTAAACATGATTTATGTTATCTAAAACAGTTGTTAATATGTTGGAATGATTCACTCAGTACTAGTGTCTCTAAATATCATCCTCTTATATGTGTTTAGCATGACAACATGAAGATGGTTGCTAACTTTCTTGCAAAGTTTCATTTGGAAATAAAAGCCAAGAAAATTATATTGCATTTGATTCTTACTCTGATCTCAGGTACAGGAACTCAAAAATAATTTCTTAATCCTCAGGCATTCATACTGAATTTGAATGAAAATGTGTAATCCTTTTTAGTTTGTACATACTTAAAAGACAATTGTAATTATTGATACACATAAAATAAATTTTGTGTGTAGAAGATATAAAACCAATATTTATAGAATTCTCTCTCTCTCTCTCTCTCTCTCTCTCTCTCTCTCTCTCTCTGTGTGTGTGTGTGTGTGTGTGTGTGTGTGTGTGTGCATTACTAACATAGTGAGAAAGTTAGCAGGAGTTATCAGTATTCAGAAGTCATCTGAATAGCAGAAGCTTTATTTCTAACCTTCCTTTTTAATTACTAAAGACATGACTAAATACATTGTGATTCTCATTTTTATATTTGTGATACCTTGCCCTCATCATTAAAAATCTGTGTATTTGAAATCTTTATAAAAAAGTTAGTTGAAGTCAATAAAATTCAATTCATTTGAGATTTTTTCCAACATCTGGTAGAATTATTTTCTCCATAATTAGACAATGAGGTGAGGCATTTTGCTGATGTAAGCTTGTCCACAACTGAAGTTCAGTTGTTTCGGGGGTCAGCAGCTTATGGTCAGTGAGCATACTGATTAATAGTATGTAGAACTGATACTTGATTTCTTGATACCATTTATACTCTGTAAATGTATGTTCCATATGTTCCTTAGACTGGCTTCTTCTCAGGCTGCTCAGTGTCCTTGTGTGCATCATTAATTGCCATCTCTTCAAATGATATTATTGCTGGTGACATTGAAGTGGGCATGTGCCATGTGCTGGTCTGGTCATGTTTCTGATTAAACCAACACTTAGGCCATTTTGAAAACCTGAATCTGTTTTGTATGGAGAGATATCTGTTCAAGATAAGATGTAAAAGTTTTTTCAATTTCTGTTATTCTATTTCCACCTAGCTTGTAAATGTTGGTTAATAAAGTATTAACATATGCAGTATATGCCTTAAGGACATAATATCACAAATTTAGATCTGAATTTTTTTAAAGTGCTGCTCTTCCTACTAGAGGTGAAAAACACATAAGGCACAGAAGAAAGGTATCTGTATTTATAATTTAAGAGAAATTGAAGACATAACACAACTATTTTAATTATTAGAGTGAAATAAAACATTTGCATCATGGAAATTTCATTGACAGCTAATTTTTAGAGAATAAATTAAAATGTTATATGAAATAATATAAATATGTATGTGGACCAACATCGAGTAGTGATATCAACAAGCATAATGTGTTCCCATTTACACACTATTCCTGGATTTCAGGATATTTGTCTTTGACTACTATACAAGTAAAATTCACAGACATTATTTGCTGGGATATTTAACATTAATTTACTCTATTGGTTCCACATTGCATATTGATTAGCCCTGCAGTCCAGCAACAAGAAAGCATTTATTCTTCATGGCTTGCGTTGCATGTACAGAATGAGATCATTAATTCTTAAAACTAAATTAAAGCTTTTTGTCAAAGAACAATAACTGTATTTTCAGCTCTGCTACCTGAAGCAGTATTAAGACAACAGCCCAGCGGGTGCACGAACCCTGAATCGCAATCCCAAACTCACCAGAGGTCTCATCTACTCTCTCATCTACTACGTGGTCCTTCTGATGAACCCACTCGCTGTTGCACTTGAAGTAGATCTGGGTGGCAGGGCTTGCTTTACAATACAAGTTCACAGGCTTGTTCTTCACAATGTAAGCTTCTTCAGGCTCAATGAGGAAGTGTGGCAATGGCTCAGGTGGGTCAGATGGAAAGGTTTCTGGGAGTTCATGAAAAAAGTCATCATCTGGTGAAGGAACAGAAAGGGGAAAATGATCAAAATATAGCAACTTGCCCTTTGGTTGCTATTTGTTTTTTAGAAAATGGCTTACTTAAGAATGAAGTTTTTGAATGGCTGATATGTGAAAAGTACTATTTAGAAATATTGAGTGTTTGCTCAGTAAATAATTTGATTATTATTCTATTTTGTGCATATGACAAAACTCAACCATAGGAAGGATAAATCATACTGAAAACCGGGAGTAGTTATCTTGCTGGGAAACAAAGCTAGGGGTCTTGTCACCCATAGAAGTGATGATATTCACAATATATTATGTACTTCCCAGGGTATAGGGTTACTGTTAAGAACTAAAACAAGGGACTGAAGAGAAAAAGCAGTGGCTAAAGCACTTGCTTCTGCTCCAGAGGTCTTGGGTTCAGTTCTCAGCATCCACAAGGTGACTAATAACCATCTGTAACTACAGTTCCTGAGAATCTTACATACTCTGCTGGCCTCTGGTAGGCACTCCACACATGATATGCACAGACACTCAAGCAAGCCAAACACCACTCAAAAACAAACAAATAGTGAAACAAACAGAAACAACTTCTATTAGAGGTATAAGGCTTGCAGTAAACTTTAAATCCTTTTCAAACATCTGTGAAAGATCACTACAGATGTGAATTCAAGTTCTCTAAGTCCAGATTCAAATTGATCACTAGTTTCAAATGATGCACTTGACTCAGTCAGATGAAGATATTCACTGAAGCCAGGCAATGGTGGTGCACATCTTTAATCCCAGCACTTGGGAGGCAAAGGCAGGTGGATCTCAGTGAGTTTGAGGCCAGCCTGGTCTACAAAGTGAGGTCCAGGACAGCCAGAACTGTTACGCAGGGAAATCCTGTCTCAAAAAATAAAAGGGAAATATTCATCGAGACTAAAATCGTCCAAGCACTGGATATGTGAATGGGTATCCATGGCTACTAGTGTAACCGTGGTAGAAATGCTATCTGGTCTAATTTTGAAATTGTACTTCATATGTTACATGTTGTTATGTGACTACTAGAACATTGCTTAAAACCTCATTATCAACAAATCTCTTCTTTAAGGCTTTCAAAATTGTGAAATGTGTTACTCCCACTCTGATATCTCAACATCACTGAATACATCTCATCTCAAATCACTGAAAGGATTTGCACATTTTGAAGTTGACTTACATTTCTTAACTTGGATTCTACATGATTCCAAGTTTTAAAAAGTCATATGTGTTTGCTTTAACAAAGCCTAGTAATGTTTTATAAAAAGATATTTCTGTTATATGTTATGTCTGGTAATTATATACTTATGAGGGACAGGAAAGAACAAACTATCATTAGATTGTCCACAAATATGCTAATATTGCAATTTTAATTCATGGGTCAAAGGTAAAGATGTACTTTACAAGTTCTCTGGAAGTACTCTTGTGTAGTATTACACAGATGCTATCATATTGGTATTTAGAGACTGGCTGCTCAGGCATTACCTTGAAACTCATTATATTATGTATTCAGTTGCTATCTGATTTTTGGGAGCTAGCCATTGGTGGAGTGGACATCTGTCCACTAAGGAATCTGGCCTGAGACTTTTTTCATCTAGGTCATGGGATAGCTTTCAAATAGTAATGATACCCAGTGGTTGCCAAACTGTTTTGCAATAAAAATTGGCTTTACTTGAATCAAAGGCGAAACTAGTTTTTGAAACTGCTTCACCATAGTCAATTTCTGACATTGTGGAAATGATGTCTGTGGTAGCTAGGCATTCTTTCTTCCTTTACCTCCCATATACTTTCTCTGGCAAGACATCATTTATAGTTTTTCCACTGTTGACAAACAAGGACACAAACTGACAGCTTACTAAAGAATAACCTTGTTTATATCAATTCTAGCTCTACAAGTCAATATGCAAGACTACTCAAGACTGATCAAATAAACAGAGCCAGAAAAGCAAAGGGACGCGGAACTGCACTATAGACAGATCCATCTGCACAAATCCGATGCCTTGAATGCCTTACCCAATCTTTCTGTCATCTTCCAGAGCATTTCCTTTTATATGTGAGGAAGTACTGGGCTGATAATCAATACGGCTATACAAAATACCATGCTCAAATTCTACTGAAGCATAAGTCTTGCTTCATTATTATTCATGAAAGCAAACAAGACAGTAGCTCTAGCTTATTCCAATTTCCTTTTGGATTGTGTTTGCATTCACATAAACATGGAGGTATAGTTAGAACTACACATTTACTCAAGTATCTAAGAAATAAAATATCTTTCCGCTGGTGTCTTAAGTGAGGCTTGTTCCTTTAAAAGAACTGATTACAAAGCACTAGCTAATTATACACATCTATTTTATTTGGTAATGTAGCATAAGTATTTGTATGTTCATATCTCATTGAAAATTCATAAAGACGCTAAAAATCAGCTATAGCACCAAGCCAAAATATGTATTTCATTAGTCTTATTATTTTGTTGCAACTCCTGAGTAGATGGATGATAATGGAAGATCAAAAAAATCACATGCCTATTTTCAAGTTCAGCAAAATTCCAGCAGGAAAAGTGATGATTTAATAATATCTAGAATAGATATGTGCAAATAATTGGTCATTTCCTTAATTTTGAGTTTTACCATAATATGACCATTACAAGTGAAAGACATTAGCCTGTGTCTTGGCATAGTATTGATTTGTCAAGTTGACTATTAACATTTAAAATGAAATATAATAAAAATTCATTTCTATCATTAGAAATAACATTTTCTTCTTTTGATGAATCTTCTGTTTTCAATTATATATAATTATCATTTCCACAGAATTCATCTCCAAGTGTTCCTCTAGAGAGTTGACTTAACAAACAATAGTCTATTAGCTTAATATTTCTGATGGTGTCTATATTGTAATTTCCAATTTATAGCCTAGATGAAATCACATTAAGCATTATATCTTATTTCTAATACTCAGTTCAAGTGTAGAAATAATAATTGGTTAAGGAAATCCAAGACATGTGTGTAGTGGGATTCATATAATAAAATAAACAGGCTGATTCTCTTAAGGTTCTAGTTTTTATACCAACCAGTTTAATGTAGCTATTAATAATCTTGAAAAGATTAAAAATACACAACTAATCTTTAATTCAAGAATGGAAATAACTTGAAGATCCAGTTTATGTTGTATTCATTTTATTTTTATGTTCTGAACAGTTTTTAAAAATTTATGTATATATCTGTGTCTGTAGGAATTTATGTGCACACATGTGTGCACATACCTATGGTAGTCAGAGGGTGACATATCCCCAGTAAATGGAGTAACAGGTAGCCGTGGGATGCCTAACGTGGGTCCTGGGAACACATGTGGAACTTCCTGTATAATTTGTGTGGCGCAATATAGAACAAAAATTCAAAGATCCTAGTTAAAATTATGAAGATTTCTGAGAGAATGGCAGGAGGAAATTCAATGTCCCTTGAGACAATCCAGGTCACATTCATGCCCCTCTACTGAAGAATGGAAAGAGAAAATGTGGCACATCTATACAATGGAGTACTACTCAGCAGAAAAAAAGCAACGGAATCTTGAAATTCGCAGGCAAATGGATGGAACTAGAGGAAGCCATCCTGAGTGAGGTAACCCAGTCACAAAAAGACAAACATGGTATGTACTCACTCATATATGAATTTTAGACATAGAGCAAAAGATTACCAGTATATAATGCTCTTCACCAAAGGAACTAGGAAACATGAAAGACTCTAGGGGATAAATGGTCCCCAGGAATGGAAGTGGCATGAACTCCTGAACTAATTGGGGGCAGGAGGGTGGGGGGGGGAAAGGAGCTGCTACAATAAGAGCAAGAGAAGAAGAGAAGAGGAGAGGAAACGGAGGGGCAGAAACATTGAGTTGGGGGAAGAATAGAGGAAAGAGAGCAAGATGAAAGATACCATATCAGAGGGAGCCACTGTAGGCCCGAGAAGGGATCAGGAACCAGGGAGATCTCCAGAGACCTACAAGGATGGCACGATCTGACAATCCAGGCAACAGTGGAGAGGATAACCTAAA